TGTATCTGAGTTTATAGGAAATAAAGACCATGGCTGAAAAATCTCTACTTAGAAATCTAAGAAGAAGAACAAGGGATTTTGGAAGATAATTATTTCATTAGAAGATTTTATTTCATTCTTTATTTAGTATTATTTTGTTTTTATATTTCAGAATAAATTCCTTTTGAATTATTGAATTTATTTAAGAGCTAATGTGCTGAATATCCAACAAATATTGTTATTTTATGTATGACTTTCTGTTCATCACTTGGATTTCAGCCTCAGTTGTCTGCTTTAGGAGTAAGAGCTGGTTGCTGTACTCCCCGGATGATAATAGTACAGTTTCACACTTTAAAACATTTCAGCCTAATTCCAAATTCAGATGATAGAACATTTTTTATACTTAGATGCTTGTCACAACTCTTTGTTGCGTGCAACTCAGCTAAAAGTGCAGCTTTTGAGCTAAGCAGTCAGAAGACTGTAGAGAAATCACATTCAGTGAGGGAACACTGTCTGGGATCTGAAGATGAGACAGAAGCAATTTTCCTAGATGCATATTTAGAGGATTTGCTTGTCTTAAAAATGACTAAGTTTGCAAATTACATGTAAAAGTAAGGTAGGTGAACACAGAGACAAAAGTGTCACATGGAGACAAAAGTGGAGAAAACATCCATCTACATTCTGCAGAGAGCAATTCTTATTGCTTTATTACGTTTTAAATGATGCAGTAAAAGCAAAGAGACACACAAAAAAGGCAACGGAAGAAAGAGGATAATGTTCAACACTCAGCTGGTGAGGGAAAAAAGAAAGGAGGTGTTCTTTTGACAGCTTAAATGGAGAAACTCCTCACTACAGTGCACTGTGGGTCTTAGAACTGTGCCTACGTCCAAAAAACTCGGACTCGCATACATTTGTTACTGATTTTTGTCAGGGATGGGACAGTGAGCAGGACACCTCGTGATCTGTCGGCGCAAAACTGATGTAATCTTCTTGCAATTAGACATCAGACACTACAAATTGAAAAGGACAAAGAAGCACAATAATCTCATATCTGTATTTCAGCTTAGCTACACTCTGTATATGTAGTAATAGTTAATGACAAGTAGATAATACAAGCCCCATGCATGGTGGCATTTTTTGCTTCCTTTGCTTCCCTTCCTCGCTAAGTATTTTGACGAAGGGCCGAGACTGCTCGCGACGTTCCGACATTCCCAGTAAAACCCACGGGGAACCGCCCGGCTGCGGCCACGGGGCGGCGCTGCGGGACCGGGAACGGAGCACGGCGGCTCACGGGACGGCAGGGGGGAATAGGGAGAAGGGAAGGGTCTGGAGAAAGGAGAGGGAAGGGGGAAGGGGGTGAAAGAAAGAGAAGGGGAAAGGGAAAAAGAAAAAAATGTGTTTAAAAACCGTTTGGATGTGGTGCTCAGGCATATGATTTAGCGGAGGGTTGTTAGGGTAGTATGGTTTGGTTGTGGTTAGACTTGATGATTTTTAAGGTCTTTTCCAACCTGGGCTTTTCTATGATTCTATGATTCTATAAAAGAGAGAGAAAGAGAGACACAGAAAAAGAGAGAGACAGAGAAAGAGAGAGAGGGAAAGAGAAAGAGAGAGAAAGAAAGAGAAAAAGAGCAAGAGAGGAAGAGAAAAAGCACAACCTTTTGCCTCATTAATAACAAAGGCTAAAGCAAGATTGTTCCGACAAGGTTTAATTATCTCCTCTTGCTCTGCCCTTGTGAGGCCCCATCTGGAGTGCTGTGCCCACTCCAGGCACAGATCCTGTCTGGGTCCCCCTGTACAAGAAATATGTGGAGCTGTTGGACTGGGTCCAGAAGAGGGCCATTAAGATGATCAGAGGACCTGATCCATGAAGAAAGGCTTAGGGAGCTGGGCTTTTTCTGTCTGGAGAAGAAAAGGTTACAGGAAGTCCTCACTGTGGCCTTCCAGTACCTGAAAAGAGCTTATAAGAAGGAGGAATAGCAGCTGGACAAGGGGGAATGGTTTTAAACTAAAAGAAAGGAGATTTAGGTTAGATATCAGGAATAAATCCTTTATTCAGAGGGCAGTGAGACCCTGGCACAGCTGTCCAGAGAAGCTGTGGGTGCCCCATCACTGGAGGATGATCAAGGCCAGACTGGATAGGACCCTGGGCAGCCTCAGCTGGGGGGAAGCAGCCCTGCCCAAGGGATTGGAACTGGGTGGGCTTTAAAGTGAATCTCAAATGCATCGAGTAGAAAAATTCCTTGCATTACCCTTGAACTGAACTATCCCATCCTATGGGAAGGATTTTCTCATGACCACAAGCACTTATCAGGAGGAACTGCTGTAGTGAAATGGTGTTCAAGCCTGAGTGCTTAAAATCACCTGACAGTCTCTGGAGATGCTCAACAGCAGCAGCATGTGGCATAACTCCTGCATGTACTGGAGAATACATGTGAGGGAGGAGCAGGACCAAAATTAGAAGAGCATGAAGAAAGCACATGATGTACCCTTGCTGTAATTCACAGCATGTGAGATTATTTTAGGGTGGTTTCAAATGTAAGCCAACACAGGATGCTCATAAAAGCATGGAGATTAAAAAAAGAAAAAAAAAAAAAAAAAAGAAAAAGTCTTGAGTAGTCACCATTAAGACTCTCCAGGTTTCAGCTCAGTCACCTATCTTTGGCAAATTTAACACCGAAGAATTATGTCTTGGTAACAAGCACAGGCTTACAGTAATGTATGAGATGCAGCTTTGAACAGTTAGTGAAGTTAAAGTAACAGATAAACTTGCTTTGATGTGAAACTATTTGTCCAGTGGTGCTTTTCACTGCTACTTGGCCAAATTTCAGTCTTGACTGAAATACTGGAATAGAAAAGTATGCCCCAACACCATTTCTTGGAGTGCAGATGTAAATGAGGTCTGCAGTTATGCTGACAATGCTAGTATGTACTAAAGAAAGACTTAGCTTTAATAAGAAAATGACAGAGAAGACAAAAAATAAGTAAAACAAGAGCTTGATATTGCTTATAAATCATCCCAGAGGAATGTGAGAAAGGAAATAAATGCTTCTGCTAGTATTTCCTTGTATTACCCTTTCTTCTCTGAAATCATATTCCTTCCCTTGTTTATCCTCTCTCCTATTTCCTGCACACTGCTAAGTCAGACAACTTTCCCTTCATGGTCCTGAGTGCCTCTAGGCACATAGGGCAATTCCCACTTGCTATCATTGCCAAAGACTTTCCAGACTCCATTCTCAAGCAGCTGGTAACAATCAGAGGAGGATTACATTTATCACAACACAAACACCAAGGATGAGTTCCAACTATAGTGCATCTGCATTAAAATAATTTGTCCCTCTTAAAATTAGAGCCCTCTGGCTGCGCTGTGCTCCAAAAAGGGCATTGATGTCACATTGCTCAAAGGGAGCACAATATATAGCTGTGTCTTGAATCATCTGCTCACCATGTGCGATCTCCTGGTCTTCCACCATCCTAACTATGCTGGTGAGAACCAACATGCTCCATGCATCCTTTCCCTCTTCCCTCTACCAACAAATTTTAAATGTTTATGCAGCCAAAGAAAAGGTGGCCACTGGTTTTTCACATGGGCATAAAAATATATTGTCATTCTGTTTTTGTGTTGATGGCAGAGCTATTCTGACTGTTTCTTTTTTTTGTTTTGTTTTCAGAAAACTGTGCCCGAGGCACTGAGCTTGCATGTATAGAGTTCTAGCCAGTGGCAGATCTGTTGTTGTGTCATGAGAAACTGAAAAGAGAAACTGAAAAGAAATGGTTTTGTTAAACTTAATGAGTAAAGATGCTGACACGCATGCTTGTATCAAGTATAGCTTTTAAATGTTTGTGGATTTTATAGTTTTCTGGTTTAATGGAAAAAACACTTATTTCTCCCCTCCATTTTCACCCATACAGCAGATTTCCTACTTCTCAGTCTTCTTTGACTATTCTAATCATAAAAATTTGCTAAGGACTTAGCTGGATGTTCTGATTTTTTTGCCTTTTAATTTAGAAAGTGCTCTTCCCTCATGATGCCAATGTGATGACTGAACTCTGCAAATGTGTGTTGAAGCACTTATGGATATTTCTTCATGACTTAACTTCATTTGAATATTATCAATTTTATACAAGAAATTAAGCTAATTTTTGGTTCTGACATGACTAACTTTTTCAACCTATTTCATCATTTCTGGTAAATCTAGTAGGAGTTTTTTATAATTTGGTGTGGGGTATCTTGATGTGAGTTCACTGAAACCCATAAAGCTACCTCAACTTTCGTCACCTGAAAATCAAGCTCTACAGGAAAATGTGCCAACAATTTAGAAAAAAAAATCAACATAGCAGGATACTTGTAACACACACTTCTATTTTGGAATATTAAAATGTTTTGTGGCATACAGATGTCTCAAGCACACAGAATTTTAATTCTTGAAAAATAATAGGTATAGCTGTGGTTTAACTATATTTTCTGTGCCAGTTCTCACCTCAAATGATCATACAGTGCACAGTTACTGTTTTGTCATTATTCCACAAATAATAAAATAAAAATCACATTTGAATCAAAGTGTTTTGTAGGAACAAAGGAGCAAAATACTTTAACTTGCCAAATATTTGTTTCTCTCAGCTCAAACTAATTATTTTTAATTTTTAAATTAAATGTTGTTCATGAAATGAAATAGATTTTTTTAGAAAAGTATTTATGCCATGTAGAACTGAATCTATTTTTTTTTTTTTTTTGTATGAATCTGAGCTTTGTCTTTTACCTTCTAAGGATTGTAACTTTATTGATCAATGGCAACATTTATACTAAATATTAAATAAGAAAATGAAACAAAAAGTTCCTATGCAATAGATTAATTTGGAATCATGGTGGGAAGAATGCTTCCAAACTGTGCTGAACAATTAACTAAAAGTCTCAGGTAGTTGATTCTGAATTATGTACACATACAAAAAAAAAAAAAAAAAAAGACTCTAGTGTTGTAACTGCATTCTAGTAAATAAAAATTCAAGGGGTTCAAAGTGTTTTAATAAATAAAATGCACAAAATTACTGTAAAATTTGGCTTTTAGTATACATAAAAGTTCACAAGTGCTGGGAATGGCTTTCAAAACAGTTTGACTTCATCAGTCACACAAAGATTTCCGCTACAGAAAAAAAGCCCCATCTGATTAGTGACAGTTGTGTTAGACTAGTGTTCAAGAAATCAAGTAATACACTGGAGACTGAATTGAGACACATTAAAATTGCTCCACAACTGGTAATCCCATCCCTCCAATTTTCTCTGTTGTCTGAATTTAAAAATTCTTACCCCTGTGCCATCCAAAATCATCAGTGAAATCAGTAGAAGTTTAATGTCATTTATTAGTACAAAAGCTGACTTTAAACATTAGAAGCCGTTAAGTATGCTGTTCAAATCTCAGCAGAAGCTGATTGCCAATGAGATGTTTGGATTTTTTCTTTAATTAAAATGGCTAAATTAGTTTGCTTCAATGCATCATAAGATGCACAGTTCCATGAAGTGAGTCAGTGAATGAGATTTGACCACTTGAAGTCTGCTTTAATTCTCTTATCCCCACCTAATCTACAGGCTTCTGCTGAAGTTGATTTTTAGCCACTGTACTTTAGCCTTCAAATTAATAGTAAAAGTTTAATAGGACAATGACTATTGATGAACGGCCCCTCTTATTAGAAAGCAGGTAAACAAAATGCAGGTTTCCAAGATAATGTGTTTACTTCTCATAAGGAATCATATTTTATGGGATATAGGGCCATCACTGGTGTATGTCTCACTTAACTTTTATTAAAATGGAGTTGTGAGAAATTAAAGACAGAAATGTCTCAAATTGGGCACCAGATGTCACTGGTATTGAGATTATGAGAGAAGCTTCTCGGGCACAAAGCCTATTTGTCTGCTACGCAGCGAACACTCATCTAAACTGCTGAAAGCTCCTCTCATACCACATTAGTTTCATGCTAACACTCAAAAGGAGTTTTTTAGCATCAGTGTCCTGGTGATTAAAGCTGCTCAATTGCAGTCATATGTTTTCGCAACCAATTTTTATTGGTGCTTAAAATCTGTCTGCATGTACAGTTTAGCCATATTCACCCCACACCAGCATTTTATACATCTAGCTTCACTGCCTTGATATCTCTAGTCATGCAACATGAGGTTTTTCAGAGGACTTCAATTGACAGGATTACCACGCCAATTTTCACCACCAGCCAAACAAATCAATCAATCAATAAGTAAGTAAGTATTGTGCAAATCTGAAGTTCTGGCATCATTCAAAGAAACGCCTCAAACTGAATTTTGGGAAAGTGCTAAAAGGAGAATATACTAAAATTGATGTATCGATTGTCGAATGTCAAGAAACTGTCTCAAACTAGGAATTGGTCTTGCTCTTCTACCCCCCTATTAAAAACCCCTGTAATTTTCAATTAATTTCACAGTAATGTATTAATTTTATTCCTTTGTTACTTCTGATATACATCAATTTCTCATACACTGACGTTACTATGCTTTTTTAGAGTCTGTTTCTTAAGTGCTTCAAGGAAATGAGCAGTAAATTAAGGCTTTTATTCAGAAATTAGTTTGAAACAAGATTTTGAATGTACAATAGAAGAAATGCAAGTATTTCAATTTCCTTAATAAAAACAATAAGCAGGAAAAGTTTTCCCTACAACCTAATTTTATAGAAAAATAATAAATGAACTATGTTAGCTACATAATCTAGAATCATACAGCAACAACCAAGGAAACAGATCTACCCAAACTAGATGAAATGTAAGGGCGACTCTCAGATACATGGCCCATTATGAAATAATGGATAAAATGTGGGATCTTGAAATATAATTAAGGTTACACCACTGAAAATTTGTTGTTTTTTTTTTCTGCCATTGTAGCTCACAAGTAAGAAGGCTGGAAAGGAATCTGATCTGATCCTTTGTCTCATATAAGATGCTGGAAAAAGGGATTTACTTGGTGCTTGCATTAAATTTTTTTAACCATTGTCAGTATGACAATGTATGACACTCTGAGAAGGTTTTTCAGAACTATTTGGTCACTTAGCAGCCTCATTTATTAGTTTAATAGAAACAAAAATATTTACTAATTTAGCTATGCTTTTCCTGTGCAAGCCTTACTCAGGAGCAGCAAAAGAATTTATTTTCAATCCCTTTCGCAGGCAATTTACATGTACAGTGACTGTTCATTACTGATAGCGATATCTTGCCTTGGAAGAATCCAGCAGCTGCTCTTGGTGTACTTGCTGTTGAAAGTGGCTAAATGCCAGCAGACAGCGGGATGCAGGAAAATCCTCTGCCTAAAATGAATTCAAAGTTAGAAATTTCTGTTCTTGCTTTGTGCTAAAAGTTCTTTGTTCTGACCTCAGTATCAGGCTATGATGTTGCAGCCCTTGGCATTACTCACACAGTAACTTAAAAATGGAAAATCTAATTCCATCATAAGAGTTAATAGATTGAAGAAATTTTATTTAAACACCTCTGGTAACTATGGCAGAATTTCAGCCATGCTAAAATAAGATTTGAGAAGAGATTACAGGAGGAATTAAACCTCCTTAAGGCAGTTTGCAGGCAACACAGATGAAGGGAATAATTGACATACAATTGTTATATGTGTCTTTGGACTATAAAAATGTTGAAAAGTCAAAATAATAGTTAAAGTACAATTTTAGAGCCAGAAGGATTTTTGTATTCTGCTAGCAAATCTTGTCTGGTACTTAAACAACCTAATTAAGAGAAACAAATGTCCTGAAACCTCAATAATCTATGAAAAGTTGAGTTATCAAATGATTTCTTAATTTCAATAGCAAAAAGGATGATAATTCCCATAGTATCCAATAGGAGATCTATTGCGTATTTGAAATAATAGCTATGTCTAATTAGAATGATTTTTTTCTCATATTTTTCCATTCCATTAAAAAATGATTTTTTTATGAACCTAATTATGAATATTAGTAGGTTAAAACTGAAATGAAGAATAAAGGACAAAATTAATTAGTCATGTTAATGAACCTTTTATTTCATTTATAGAGAAGAAAAATTCTGCAAGGAAATGTTTATTAGTACTTATACCTCTTCTGCAGAAACAGGATTTCCATTGAGTTTCTTCTTTATTTAGCTGGAAGGGCTCCTTCTCTTACCTGAAAATGCACAGAGATGAAAGCTCATATCAGTGCAAATATCAGCAACATTTCACTATGGTAAATTATTTAGGTTTAAATTATTTAGGGAGTTGTCTTATGTACTGTGAGTGGTGGTTTCTCACAGTCTTTTCATAGAGGAATATGTGTTCAATTCCATACATTCCTCCAGAAGACTGCCAGCCAGGACAAACAGCAAGTTTCCTTTGCCTCTTGAAGCAAATATACATTTCTACAGATAAGCTTATATTATTGAATCCTAAAAAAAAAATTGTTTGCTTCTGAGAGTTTTGTAGCCTCTTCAGAGTATTTTCGGTTCTTGCTTTTGTCAAAACCGTGCCGGGGGATGCTCAGATGTCAAAACCATGCCAGGGGATGTTCACTGAAAAAAACTTTTTTACCATGAGCATAGTCAGGCCCTGGAACAAGCTTCCTGCAGAGGTAGTGAAAGCCCCATGCCATTCAGTGGTCAACAGGCATTGGGATAACTCTATGATTCTGTGATAACGCTCTCAATAATGTGCTTTAACTTTTAATTAGGTCTGAAGTGGCCAGGCATTTGGATTAGATAATCATTAAGAACCCTTCCAACTGAACCACCCTATTCCATTCTAAATGGCTCCAAAAATCCCCCTTCTTTTTCAAAACACCAGAATACTGGATAACAAAACAGAACAAACTTGGTCTTGTTCCCATTTATATTGTTTGCCCAAACCCTTCAAATTCAATACAGTTATCCCTTTTGATATAATTTCCACTTAAAAAGATTATTCAATATATCCTCAGCAAATGTGTCTCCTCTACTGGTCATGTAAAAAAAAAATAAATAAATCCATGATAGAATACATTCCTTACCTTGCATCACAGCAACAGACAAACTAAGATCCCTGTCAGTTTACTCTGATTTCACCATTTTCCTCTTTCTAGAAAACCCGTGACCTTCTAAATTCAAGATCAATTAACAGTCATGCCACAGATAAAACATTTTATAGATGCTTTCTGAAGGAGGAACTGAGGAATATTACACTTGTCATAGCTGTGGAGAAGACTCAGTGGGAAGGTGCCAGGAGAGCCATATAGGCACTGCAAGGAGTAGAGGATTGGAAAAAGGGAACTAGACGATGTAGAATGCATAAGGTCCAAGAGTTTGGTGGTACTTTGTGGATCTCTGGAATGAGGTCTGCTAGTAGTCATCCACTATCCAGTTTTGGTAAAAACATGAAGTTTTAGAGGCCCACTGGCAGAGGAAGACATTGTTTCTCCCTTTTCTTCTGCCAGCTTCTCCAATCTTCTCCAGCTGAAGACTTCTTGGAGATCTGTGTGCAGTCGCATGGCTACGATTTCATTGCAGTCACAGAGACATGGTGGGACAGCTCACATGACTGGAATGTTGTCATGGAGGGCTATGTGCTTTTTAGGAAAGATCGGCTGGCGAGGCGGGGTGGTGGAAATACTCTTTATGTGAGAGAGCAGCTAGAATGTATTGAACTCCACCTGGGGGACAGTGGTGTAGCAGTGGAGAGCTTGTGGATGAGAATCAAGAGGCAGGCTGGTATGGGTGACGTTGTTGTGGGAGTGTACTATAGGCCCCCTGATCAGGAGGAGGAGGTTGATGAGGCTTTCCATAAGCAACTGGAAGTAACGTCATGATCCCAGGTGCTGGTGCTTATGGGAGACTCCAATTATCCATATATTTGCTGGATAAGCAACATGGCCAGGCATGCACGGTCCAGATGGTTCCTGCAATGTGTTGAAGACAACTTTCTAATGCAGGTGGTGGAGGAACTGACGAGGAGAGGGTTGTTGCTCAACCTTATTCTCACTAATAATGAAGGGCTTGTCAAGGAAGTAAAGGTCGGCGGCAGCTTGGGTTGTAGTGACCACGAGATGGTGGAGTTCAAGATCTTGAGTGGAAGAAGCAAAGCAAAAAGTAGGATTGCTACCCTGGACTTCAGGAGAGCCAACTTTGATCTCTACCTGGAGCTATCCCATGGAGTCTCCTTCTCTGGAGATATTCAAGACCCGCCTGGACGCCTACCTGTGCGACCTGGTGTAGGGATCCTGCTTTGGCAGGGGGGTTGGACTCGATGATCTCTGGAGGTCCCTTCCAACCCCTACGATTCTGTGATTCTGTGATTCTGTGATTCTGTGACTAGGGTTTTAGAAGGTAAGGGGGCCTGTGAGAGCTGGTTGGCATTTAAACACCTCTTCTTCCAAGCTGAGGATCAGTGCGTCCCAGTGAGCAAGAAATCAGGAAAGGGTGGCAGGAGACCTGCATGGATGAGCAAGGAGCTCGTGCACAAACTTTAAGGAAAGAAGAAGGTCCATGAAATGTGGAAAAAGGGTCTGACCACTTGGGAAGAATATAGAAATGTTGTCAGGGCCTGCAGGGATGTGACGAGGAAGGCTAAAGCCCGCCTGGAATTGAATCTGGCAAAGGTGATAAAGGATAATAAAAAAGGCTTTTTAAAGTATGTTAACAGTAAAAGGAATACTAGGAAGAATGTGGCTCCCCTACTAAGTGAGGGGGGTGTTCTGGTAACGGGGGATGCTGAGAAGGCAGAGTTACTCAATACCTTCTTTGCTTCTGTCTTCAATGAAAAAGCTCTCACTCGGGAATCCCGGACCCTGGAGGTTAGTGAGAAGGTCTGGGGAATGGAAGACTTCCCTTTAGTCAGGGAAGAAGCGGTCTGAGAGTGCCTAGGCAACACCAGTGTTGATAAATCCATGGGACCTGATGCGATGCATCCACAGGTGCTGAGAGAGCTGGCGGAGGTGATTGCTGAACCGCTCTCTGCTGTCTTTGAGAGGTCTTGGAGAATGGGGGAGGTGCCTGAGGACTGGAGGATAGCCAATGTCACTCTCTTCAAAAAGGGATCTTCAAGAAGGAAGATCCAGGTAATTACAGGCCAGTCAGCCTCACCTCTGTCCCTGGAAAGGTGATGGAACAGGTTGTGCTGGATGCCATCTCCAGACAACTGGAAGAAAAGGAGGTTATTGGGAGTAGTCAGCATGGGTTCACCAGGGGGAGGTCGTGCTTGACCAACCTGGTAGCATTCTATGATGTTGTCACTGGCTGGGTGAATGGGAGGAGAGCAGTGGATGTAGTCTACCTTGATTTCAGCAAGGCGTTTGATACTGTCTCCCATGACATCCTTATAACAAAGCTGAGGAAGTGTGGGATAGATGAGTGGACAGTGAGGTGGGTTGAGAATTGGCTGACTGGCAGAGCACAGAGGGTCATCATTGGCTGTGCAGAGTCTGGTTGGAGATCTGTAACTAGTGGTGTTCCTCAGGGGTCGGTGCTGGATCTGGTCTTGGTCAACATCTTCATCAATGATCTTGATGAGAGGATAGTGGCCACCCTCAGCAAGTTTGCTGATGATATGAAGTTGGGAAGATTGGCTGACACACCTGAAGGCTGTGCTGCCATTCAGCAAGACCTGGACAGGCTGGAGAGCTGGGCAGTAATAAACCAGATGAGGTTTAACAAAAGCAAGTGTAGAATCTTGCATCTAGGGAGGAATAATTGCATGCACCGGTATAGGTTGGGGGATGACCTGCTGGAGAGGAGCTCTGCAGAGAGGGATCTGGGTGTCCTGGTGGATGACAAGTTGGCCATGAGCCAGCAGTGTGCCTTTGTGGCCAAGAGGGCCAATGGCATTCTGGGGTGCATTAAAAATAGTGTGACCAGCAGGTCGAGGGAGATTATCCTCCCCCTCTCCTCTGCCCTGGTAAGGCCTCATCTGGAGTACTGTGTCCAGTTCTGGGCTCCCCAGTACAAAAAAGACAGGGATCTCTTGGAAAGAGTCCAGTGGAGGGCCACAGAGATGGTGAAGGGCCGGGACCGTCCCCCCTGTGAACAAAGGCTGAGTGAACTGGGTCTGTTTAGCCTTGAGAAAAGAAAACCGAGGGGGGACTTGATCCAGGTCTATCAATATCTAAGGTGTGGGGGACAGAGTGGCGAGGCCAGACTCTTTACAGCAGTGTGCGGAGACAGGACAAGGGGGAACAGCCAGAAACTGGAGCACAGGAAGTTCCGCACAAATGTGCGCAAGAACTTCTTTACGGTGAGGGTGACGGAGCACTGGGCTGCCCAGGGAGGTTGTGGAGTCTCCTTCTCTGGAGATATTCAAGACCCGCCTGGATGCCTACTTGTGAGACCTGGTGTAGGGAACCTGCTTTGGCAGGGGGGTTGGACTCGATGATCTCTGGAGGTCCCTTCCAACCCCTATGATTCTGTGATTCTGTGATTCTTCACATCTCTAGTCTCAATCAAAATGACTGCATCTTTCAAAATACCAGGTGATATTTCTATATCCCTAAAAATGAATTTGATACATCACTTCAGTTTATTGTGCAAGACTGAATGCTGATGATTGATACTCAACTGTGTTCTTAGTACTGCTGAAAAAACTGTAAAAATAAATCTAGGTGGAAAAAGGTCAATAGTGATTTCAGCATGTAGTTTCAGAACGTATTTTTGAAACAGAATAAAAACAAGGTAAAGCATACAGAAGAGGGAGAAAAAAAAATGAAATAAAACAGATATTGGTATTTTTTTTTTCTGCCATTGTAGCCCACAAGTAAAAAGGCTAAAAAGGAATCTGATCTAATCCTTTGTCTCATATAAGATGCAGAGCTGGAAAAAGGGATTCTCCACCTTTCAGATGAATGATGGTTGGGAAAACTCAAATTTGTTATGCTATCAAAATGCAAACATAGTGAAGTATAGGTTTGCAAAGTTTTGTTTCTCTAAGGCTTGTACAATCCTGTTTTTATCTCTTTCTTTCTTTCATACCAATTTTTTGATATTTCCTTGTGCAGTAGGTTTACATTTTCAAGTACAGTTCTAAAATAATTTACTTATAATTAACTTACAGTAGAGAAATTTACATTGAAGAGTATTTTGTAATCTTATTTTTTATCTTAAGAATTATTTTTAATAAAGAACAATGAAAATCTCAAGTTCTAGCACTGTAAGGCAAAAATGCAGGGCAAAATGACTCATTCATTCAAACTGTTACTGATACTAATTGGTGAAGAAATAGCAGCACATTAAAATTAGAGACTATATCTACTTAACCAGGAAATTGGATGAGACTTTACACAGGCTATGTCATGAAACAGGCTATGTCAGCATCTTATTCTTGATCAGTTTTCAAAAAAATTAGGTTGATTTTGTTGCCGTAGTACAGGCTAAATTGGTGTGGACTGGAGCAGAATATGCACCATTCAATCAAAATAAATTTTCCTGTAAACAGCGCTATAAGAATAGAAACATTCATGGAAAAGTTCTAATGAACTGGTTTAAGTAGTTGATCCAGCATTTCTGCTTTAGAGAATCTGTATCAGCGCATACGGAATATACACTGCTATGCTTGACCTCAGATTTGAATGATTTAAGACCATCATGGCAGATGTGGTCAGTTTTCTTCTCTCTGTAACAGCCCTTTGGCCTGATGCTGACATGCTGAGGTTGCTCCCTCATCACCTGACTTCTTCTAGTGTCATCATCTTCTTATAAAATACATTTTATTTTAGAAATCAAGTGTTTTTCATTGACAACACATAATTGTGTGCATTTTTTTAAACTACTTGTATAAATCTTTTATTTTATTGTCTTACTAGCTTTGTATTTGATTACTAATGTCCACATTTATTTATGGTAATTTTCTTATAATTTTCATCCATTTGAATGGGCAATGTTTTCTTTTTTTGCAATTAATGCAGTTCATAGCCATTATCCAATCCATTACTTTTCTGACCACTCAGGTTCAGCAAAAAACCTTTATTCACAGTAACTTTTATTGTGAATTGCAGTTCTGTGGTCAGGTTGCTCTTAAAATACTACATGTCACACCTGTCACATGAAGATGACAATGCAAGACTCCTGAAAGCCAGTGCCTGAGGTTGCAAAAAGTAAATTCCTGAAAACAATGAAATAGCGTAAAAACATCAGTCTTTTCTTCTCCGTACATTTCGTCCTCATCTCAGCTTTCTGTAGGCTTCTAATTAATCTTGGTTTTCCATTCTGCTTTTTACCATTTTTGGATCTCCTTTAGAAAACCTGTGAGTAACAGCTCAGGTTTTGTACTTCTTTGCACAGCTGGGCACTGCAGCTGCTCTGAGGACCACAAAGATCTGCTCTGAGACCTCATACAGTTTCTCAAAACAACTGTTTTTGATGTCTTGAAACCCAAGGCTCTCTCAAAACTCGCTTTTGCCATAAAAAGGTTTAGAGCAAGCAGGTTTAGAGGATTTTGTCAACATTTTTTATCCACTTCCAAAATGCTGTTAGTCTCCCTTGCTTTGTGCTGTGTCAGAACCAAACAAAGCACAAGATGGAGTTTAGTGCTGGCTTTGATCCCTGGGACGGTGCCTGATACATGATAATATTACCAGAAGGTAATGTGAACATTAACAAGGAGCTTCTCCCCATCTTCCATGACCTGCTGACTCATTTCTCCAAACCCAATGAGCTGTAGGAGGGCAAGAGGCATGCAGAAAAACAACTAAAATATTATCGAATTGACTGCAGATATGGAGAGGTTGAGTCCAAATATGGAACTAATTAGTTTTATTTTCTCTTTGGTTCAAAGTTGCAAATCTTGAAGGCTTGTTAATGTTATAGATCACTGGTGCATTGAAGCAACTGTGATGAAGTCATGTGTATTTGCAAAGGTTGTACTAAATCCCCATCTTTTCTGAAGTAAGAAACATCAAATGACAAGTGCTAATCCCCTTGCTTACAGTCCCAAGCCATTTTCAAGCAAAAGTTGGCTAAAAATCTCTGCCTTCAGGCTGATACTATTCTGCCTTTTTAGATGTAATTCAGCTTTGCTTTTGTGTGTGAGTGAATGTGCTATTTCTGTAGTATTTCTTCCTTTCCAGATGCAAATACTTGTATTTCTGAACACATCCCAGCAAAATATTTGCATAGGCATTTCCCTTGTTTCAGGTACTGACAAGATCCTGCGGTTTTGTTAAAGCCTGCTGCTTTATAATGAAAGAACTCACTGGCAGCTTCTGCACAGTGATATTTTGTTCCTTTTGCAGCCATCCCCAGGCCCACTGCTTGCTTACCCCATCTTTACCTGATCCTACTGGCTGTGAATAGAGTATTTATGGACAAATGCTTGCAGTGCACAGCAGCACGATGCTGACAGATGTGACAGAGAGTGTACTTGAGTTAGTTTCTTGTGGTTCAAAGACCAGAATTATGAATCCAGCTGAGTATTTGAACGCAATTATGAATATCAGGCAAAACACTGTCTCCACTCCCTACTTACAGTAGTGTTTCAAACCTCCTGTACTTCTTAATACAGCAGGAATGCATGCGACTCTATCTCCTATGCAAATCTAATGTTCTCTCTGTGAAAAGGAACAAGTAGAGAACATATAAACAGAATTATAGTTTACATAGAAAGGGATAAACTGAAAAGAAAAAGAGCAGGCTAGGAAGGACTGGATAGGGTTGTTCCTCTAGTCAGTAAGTAATTACTTGAGAAAGATACGAGAGCTCAGGCTGCTTTGTTTAATTCTGGAAATCTGCTCTCAGGTGTCACTACACATAAATCCTGCAGCACCTTGGAGGAGTAAGACAGAACAGCAGCTAAGGTTTCTGTGGTCATGTACCATGTAGCTGAATGACTTTACTATTCAGCTCAAGTGGCTTGGTAGATCACTTTCACTGACACATGGAGTTGTTATTGTTATCAGTGCTGAAACAAATATTTATAACAGCTTGTGCACATGCTGCCTTGCACCCTGTCTCATGTGCTGTGCAGCTTTGTGAAAGCTGGATAGGAACCAGTCTTTAAACCTTGCTATATTTGAGAGGATTCTTCAGTGTTACTATAAAAGATATTTTCTTTCTATATTCCATCTTTACCTGTTTTTTTTTTTTTT